AAGGCTCACCTGCGAATGCCCGCAGCTGCTTGTGCTGGACGTGAGCAAGCCAGATTTTCCTGATAGAACCATTGTTGTCACTGAGTAATGTCATGCAGCTATCACTGGAGTGCATGCATTATAGAAAATAATTGACTGATAAGAGGATGCAGGTGACAAGAAGCGTCATTATTGAACAAAGGATGAAAAATGGTGAAAACAATCATTTTATTTAAATAGTCTATTTTTATGATTTAAAATACACACAAAAGCAACGCTAAAGGCACGCTATAGACAAGACAAGTGCTAAAAACCTGTGATAATATACAACAATAAATTGCATTCACTAGAATAATATATATATGCAAAACAAATAAGTGGTCATATTAAAAACTTTATAACGATCCATATGTGTTTTAGATGTGAGTAAAAAAACAAAGTGTTTGAAGCACAGGATTTGAATTTTTCACACCTACTGTAAATCACATATGGACTGTTATAAAAAACTTTTATTATGATCACTTGTTTGTATGGCACACATATATTATTAGAGTGATTGCGTTTACAATCTGTTATAAAATTATCCAGGATCTTAGCACATGTTATGTATAAATATGTTTTTAGCTTTAGCTCTATATATCTTTATGATATTTAGATGTTGTGCCTTATTTGTGAGGTATACACTTGTGAGGGTGCAGTATTATTTTTATGCTAGAAATTGTTTGGTTTACAGTGTGTTAGCTACTTAATGGATTTTGGAGAGTAAGTGAAATGTATTGTAAATACATTACCCATGTTATATTCTTACCTAACAACCCTCACCATCCCTACAGTATACCGACTGCAACGCCTCCTGCAGGATCATTAGGCAGAAACCCTAATTAACTGGCTGGGAGGGCCCTATTCAATATAAAGGGGTTTATTTTGTTTTTATTGAGATTCTGAGATAATTGTGCTGGAAAAATGACAATTGTTATTTCTACTACCTAATTAAAAATGCATACTTTATTTTGCTGTCAGAGGCCAATACATTTTCATTGTCTATTAATTTGTCTCAATGTAAACGGAAGTAAATTATGTTTACTTTTCCATAAGCAGTGTTTAAACATGCCACACTGAAATGTCTTCTGTATTCTCTAAGCTTCAGCTGAGTGATTAATCCCACTAGTGCCTGTGAGGCTTTGAAATGTGTCTCGGTGTGCTCTGACAGACCAGGGATGAGGCCTGCCTTTTCCAGCCCCTTGCTTTACACTTTGGGTACATTGAATTCAGTGCTGTTTGTTGAACACTGCCGTAGAAGTGTTGGCTTTCATTGAGAATGACACCTGTGCATTAACTAGACCAAATGTTCTATTAATTGTGGTTTGATGTGGGGGGGGAGGGGGGCACACACCAGCACATATACACGATCGGCTGGCTATAGAGCCGCCGATCGGGTATATGTTAAACAGCCGGTAACGGCTCTATGCATTGCATGGGTTTTTTGTGCGCGTGCTAGGGGGCGCTCGCGAGCAGAAAAAAAATGCTGTCTGCAGACGGCAACCCGCTAATGCAGCATTGCTGTCCGTCCGTTTTTTTTCAACGGGCGGACGGCAACTGGTTAAAGGGGTTGCATTCACCTTGTTTAAAGAACATTATCATAAAATGGAGGGAGAAAAGTTTCTGTCTGGCCTTGGGCTCGTATATATAAGGGTGGTACAGATCGTGTCCAGATCTGTTCTTATTTTTTTTTTTCAATTCTTTGTTTTCTAGTGGGTCCCTATATCACTGTCTCTCCGCCCCCTGCACGGGTGCTGCCAGCAGCTAAGCGGCTGCTACGGAGGCACCCGTGCATGCGTGTTCCTGCAGTGGCTGTGTGTCAATGGACACACACAGCCCTGCGGCAGGCCACACCCCTCCTCTCCACCCAGCAGGTTGGTTGATGGCAGCCTATGGCTCCTCTGCCCTTAATCTCCTCCCCCGCACCTAGGAAGTTCGGGACGGAGGATCGTGCGGGGACTGGCGGCGGTGACATGAGGTGCTAACAGGTAAATGTGGGGGGGGATGGGGGAGTACAAAAGGTACTGGGGTTTTTTACCTTAATGCAGAGAATGCCTTAAGTTAAAAAACACCCAGACCTTAAAGTGACATTAGCTACCTCCCGGCGTGAATGCACAACGGCCGGCCGGGAGCTTCTTGGATGTAACTGGGCGTGTATACAGGTCCTGTTACTCCACGTGCGAGCGGGAAATGCCGGTCATTTTAAAACGGGCAGCGATGCCCGTTACTATACAAGCAATCCGCCGGCTATAGAGCCGGCAGATCGCTTGCATGAGGTCCTGTGACGCGCGCCCCCCCCCCCTCCTCCACGGCCCCCCCCTCCCGCTGCCAAGCTGGTCCCGGGCTCCGGTGTGAGCCCGGGACCAGCATACTGCCTCTGTCACAGGGGATCAGAGGGAGGTCGTTACATGACCTCCCTCTGGTCCCCTCTCCGCTGTCAGAATGCGGAAGTGGTGTATATTACATCACTTCCGCATTCTCGTGTCACTCTCCAGCTTCAGATGCTGGAGAGAAGCTGATGAAGCAGATCTCTGCTTCTTCAGGGGGGTCCTAGGTGACATTAGGGGTCTTGGAGACCCCTGATGTCTCCATAAAGAGGACCTGTCACCTCTTTTGCTATCACATAGAGGGGTTTCTCAGCCCTCAACCTAACAATAAAGTTAAGTGGGGAAAAAAATAGAAAAAAAATTTACAGTTTACCCCCCAATTTTTAAAAAGTTACACACAAAAAAAGAATTCCCCACCCCTACATACACGCATTTAAACATGCGTCAGGTGCGCATACCTGTGAAAATGACGATTGCGCCCATTACCCCGCACATGTTACATATCGCCGCGAACATCGGAATGAGAGCAATAGTTCTAGGGCCATCAATCACTGATAACACTAAACTGATGAGCTGTAAAAGCGTTTAAAGCGCCGCCTATGGCCAATTTTGGGTATGCTAGTTTTTTGCGAGTGCGCGCAATTTTTAAGCTTGACATGTTTGTCTATTTGCCCAACGTGCCCCCATCTTTTATATTTTACCAAAAAAGTGGGTAATATTAGTTGTTTTATAACATAATGTAAAAAAAAAACTTTTTTTTTTCAAAATTTTCAGTAATTTCTTCTTATTATAGTAAAAAATAAAACCCCCAGTGGTGAATAAATACCACCAAAAGAAAGCTCTATCTGTCCCCAAAAAATGGTATAAAATTCATTTCAGTACAGCGTTGCATGACGGAATAAATGTCAGTCAAAGTACCGCAGCGCTGAATACTGAAAAAGGGCCTGGCCAGGAAGGGGGTCTGAACACCTGGTCTTCAAGCGGTTAAAGGCAAAAAATATTTTCCGTCCCCCCAATGTTAATGCCAGCACTTACCTTAAATGAGGTTTCTTAATCCGATCTTCTTTCCTGATGTTTTCATCTGTCCCTCTAGCGGTGCGGCGGCTCTCCGAACCAGCGCTGACTCCTCTGTCCTTGCAGGCGGTGTCTGCATGCGGTTGCACGCGTCCATAGACTTACCTTGAGTCTCTGCTCATCCCCCGGCACTGCTGTTAAAGCGTTTTTTATAAAAAAACTTTTTGCATATATCTACTGCTTGCTAGCAGTAGATACTGTATATGCAAAAACGCCGGAGGGCTTAGAAACCCTTTAATACTATAAGGCTTCGTTCACACCATATGCAGTGCGCTCCAGCCCGATTCTGGCCGGAACGCACTGCCGCACATTGCTGCTGGCCCCCTTTTTTTGTCGGGCTAGAGGGGTCGTGGCGGGCCATTGAAGTGAATGGCACCGTAGCCATGCCCTCTTGCCGCAATGCAATCGCCCGCACAGGATAGCAAGGCACATTGTGTCTGCAGTCCGGTGCGATCAAAATAGAGCTTGCAGCATTTTGATCGCCTAAGGAAAGTGCAGTCCACAAAAGTTGGTACCAGTAAGAGGTAGCAATGGGGAGTTGTGCAGCCTATAATTTCATGTGTAAAGAGTCCATAAGGTGGGTGGGGAATTGGGGGGCATTTTTCTGCATACGAAGAGAGCAGACAATACAGCTCTTCTGGTGTATATTACAGGTCCAGTCTGTTACTCTTACTAATGTAAATGCAACATAGAATTTACAAAAGTCACGCAACGCTTATCCTCCATTACATTTTGCTCTGATGATGGCCCTTTGGAAGTTCGTCTTTATTGATGTTCTGATCCTTCTGAGAAGCTGAAAGAATGTCAATAAAGATGAACTTCTAGAGCAAGAGGTGTGCTGATGACATATTTTCCTTGTGATAAGGTGGTGACTCTTACTGGAGTAGTCAATTTTTCTAGTAAGTTTAAAGGAACATTGCAGGTAAATAAAATAAATATATATATTTTTTTTATTATTATTATTATTTTCATTTTTATTTTATGGAAAGGAAAAACAACAATTAAAATACATTTTTCCCTTTTATTTTTATTTTTTTTAAGTTGGGGACATGGACTCTTTAAATAAGATCAGCAGGAAGGTAAAAGCAAGTGTCTGCTGTACCGAACTAATATACATTTGCTGGATCTTCTCTGAATAAAAGTTCACTTTAAACAATTTGATCTTTTTTAGTTACTATTTCAGAGTGCTGAATATGACGTATGGCTATTTTGTGCGTGAAGTTAAAGAGCTTTAAAAAATGATTGAACCAAATATTTGGTTTAAACAGTTCATGAAGTGGTTAATAGAAGTATTTTTATTGTAAAATATTATTAGTTTTATTGAGTACAAAATGTAAATAAAACATGCTTGTTTTTTCTGTGCTGCCACAAACTTAAGAGCTTGTTTTGCTCGTTTGGAGTGTTAATGATAACAATGAAAAATGTGAAACTTTTCTGCCTTGCTTTTATTTGTGTAAATGTGACAAGGTAATGTAAACTGCAGTGTCACTAATAAAAATGAGCTGTAATGCCTGCGGTGTGTGACGGTGATTACCGAGAAGGAACACTATTGTCTGATCCTCTGTCTGTTCTCTCCTACAGGACTCATCTCCTACACAGAGTATTTATTCCTGCTGACAATCCTTACAAGTATGTATTTTTAAAATGTTCTGCAACATATATATATGCACACACATTCTTCTTGATGTAGCATTATGTAGTACTTGGATTAAAATATATACACATTATATCATCTAGGTTTCTCACCTACACCTAATGAGGGGCTTCAGAATTTATGAATGATAATGGAGAAAGCAAACGTGTTGTTTTATCAGAATCTTAAGTCCTGTTCTTGCTCCTGGAGTCTGGGGGCTTTGTATGGCTTTAAGGGAAATATACCCTCCATTCTTTGGTCCACATTTTACCTGGTAGCCAGACCTTTTTATATATGCAAGATAACTCTGCTCAGAGCTTTCTCTCCCACATGCTCTATTGTGGAAACCTGCTGCTGTGTGAACAGGCTGACTGCCAACAGAACACTAAAATAGCAGTTTGTTTGTTTTGGGGAACCCATTAGGGAGCACCCTCTTTGTTAGACACTAACTAAACTCAGGTCAGTTCCTATGTACTTGCTGTTCAAAGCCTTCCTGCACTAAAACTATATATAGATATAGATATCTAGATATAGATATCGATATCTATATATATATATACTGTATATGTAT